TAAAATCCAATGAAAATCCACTGCCTGCTTTTCTACAGCACATTATCGTCTGATTACTGAGCAATGATGTGAAATGGCTTGACAAGTGTACCAATGTACTTCCTGTTCAAACAAGAGGTTTGGATAGTCTATGGACACATCCTAAGGGCTCGTCTTGTGCTTTTTATGTAACCAGTAGGCTTCAGGTCATGTTCATAGAGGGGTGGAGACATTCTCATGCTAGGGAGCATCTGATTGGTCAAAATCAGTTTAGTCATCCACATTTAAATCTATAAATTTAAAAGACTATAAAATACTCATAATACTAGTAAACTCCAGTACATTAACAATTACTCGATCAAAAACACAGGCGAGGAAGCCGCAGAAATTAGCAATCTTTTATGTATGCATATGAAAAAAATAATGCGATCATCAACACTAACCGCATATAAATGAAAACTGCCTAATCACTCGATCAAAAACACAGGCGAGGAAGCCGCAGAAATTAGCAATCTTTTATGTAAGCATATGCATATGAAAAAATAATGCGATCATCAACACTAACCGCATATAAATGAAAACTGCCTAATGTTACAGAGTGAAATGTGGATCCAGAAGTGGTCAAATACTGTGCAAGCTTTGAGAGTACTGATGGAAGATGAAGATGAATCCAAATTAAGTATTTGATAAAAATGCAATTTTCTCAGCTTTTTCTCAAAATGTTGCTTTTTTATCAAACCTACTTACATTCAAGTGTTGATAAAAAAAGAACGCTTGAAGCTATTTTGTTAGCTTTTTGTTTGAAAGTAGAGGGTCTGATCTTTGTTTTGATGTATTGCATGTTCAGATATTCATGCAACAAAATATTCTGGGGGCCATGATGAAATTTTAGTGAAAATGATCAAAAACGCTGGTGGTGGCTGGCAACTTTTTTCAAAAACACTGGCGGGGAAAGAGTTAACAGGACTCAAAACCATTAAGGCTACTGATTACCTTCATTTTTTTTTAATTAATGAACTTTAAGTTTAAACATTTGGATTATGTGCAGAGTTGTTGGGTCTGCATAACAAAAGCACACAAAACCTCACAAAAGTCATTATCTAGAACAGTTTTATCATTGGCAGAATGTAAAATATTACAATACAAGCATTTCAGTCAAATATAATTGATGCAATATATCAATCCTTTAACACATAAAAAAATCAACAAGCTAGTAATTAGACATTTCAGTCACTAGAATTAAGTCAACAGATCTTTTTTTTAAGTACACAGAGGTGTGCTTTTAAGTTAACTGTACTCAATATGTATTACTCTCTTTTGTAATTTTTTTTATTGCACATACCTCAAACACATTATTAAACTCACAATCCTGTGTCTCGAAATGCATTGCTTCAAATACAATGAGCACAACTTACTCCCGCTGTCTTCAGCTGAACATGTTCCCATCATGCACTGCAGCTGAAATGGATCGTGATAATTATTGATTGACCTATTTACTGTTTATGTAATTACAGTGATGTTGTTGTGTCTGTTGTCCTTTTGAGTTATGTGTTAACACGCTCAAAAAAAAGCTACAAAATCTGTCACTGGGGCAGTATCCTTTCAAAAGGCACACATTTGTACCTTATTTACCCCAAAATGCTGCATATTATATCTTAAAGGTACATGTTTGTACCTAAAGTGTACATATTCGTACCTTAATGGTACATAGTTGCACCTTTCGAAAAGATACTGCTCTAGTATCTTTTTTCTGAGCGTGGCATGTAAATTCATGTGGTTTGTGTGTTGGAGGTCAAGAACACTGCACTCCAGAGAAAAAGCAGGTGCATGACATCACCTCTTTTTAGATCTTGATTTCGGATGTGACACTCACAGCAGCACTTCTGACTGTATCTGTCTAATTGGCAGATTTAATCAGCTCATAGATGGGGTTTATTAGTCTGTGAGGATCAGAGCACAGTGTCCTCAACACTGACAACACGCAGACAACAGTCCCCAAACCTAAAATATCAAAGACTATGTGAGTGCATTGTCTCTGTGGAGAGCAGTGTGCTTGAGCTCGAACACACACATTACAATGACAGGTCACATGGTTACAAAAAGCTCTCTAAATTTACAAGTAAAGTTCTTTAAATTCAAAAGCAATAGAAAGTTCTGTGCTCATTAATGTTAATTTGTTTCAACTAATTTGCACGATTTAATTTTCCCATACTCAATACAATAAATTAGTTTGAGCACTAGGGTTTACAGTACAAGCTAAAAGTCCATTCCACACTATAAATTTACAAAACAAACCACAAGCATCTCCCAGGTCTCAACGTGATGATGATCCACTGACAGTGTGCTCAGAAGATGCTCAGGGTTTGACTGGGAGTTAACCGCAGAAACTAAGAGTTAACAGAGTCTGGCGGATATTTCACACTGTTGGAGGCTAAAGACTGGACATTTAAAACATGTACATTACCTGCTAAAGTTTGGAATTTTTTAAATGAAGTCTCTAGAAATAGAAGTCTCTTCTGCTCACCAAGGCTGCATTTATTTGATAAAAATAAAATAAAAATGGTAAAATTACTGTTTAAATTCTTTTAAACTGCTATTACTATTAAAAATACGTATTTTCTATGTGACTACATGTTAAAATGTAATTTATATTTTATAATTTTATAATTCATTAAAATATATATATATATACATACATTATATAATTAATTGATTAATATTATTTTTATTTATAACATTTATTTTTTCCTTATTTCTTTTTTTTATCTTATTGACCCCAAACTATTGAATGGTTGTGTAGCACAACTGTGATAATAATCTGAAATGTTTCTTAAAGGGAAAAAATATATATACATACATTATATAATTAATTGATTAATATTATTTTTTATTTATTTATTTATTTATTTATTAAATAAAGGCAGCCTGAAGCAGAAGAGACAAAAACATTATAAAATTCTAACTATTTCACACGCCAGCAGTGAATATGCTTCTGAAAGTGAAGGCTAAAAATAGAATTAAAGCTAACGCAACACACACACACACAGACACACACACACACAATCACACACACACACACACTCACACACAAACACGCACGCACACACACACACACACACACACACACATGATATTACGGAGCGCCTGAAAATAGTCCCCAGCTAGGTAACTTCCAATAAGCCTATTTTCAGGCGCTGCGTAATATCATTGCGCCTGCATCATTTTTGAGTGAGATGCTAACGGTCTAATCAGAGTCAATGATCTATGCTAAGCTACAGCTAAAAGTGCTACCGCCAGACCCGGAGATCGGCTGAATGGATTCGAAAACGGTAAAACTCAACTGTTTAACTCTAGGGGGTTTGGAAAATGAGCCTATTTTCAAAAATAGTGGCGTGTTCCTTTAATAAACTGAATGAAATAAAGACAGAAGTCATATTAGTTAGCGTTCCTTTATCAGAAGTGGACACAGAGGTGAATCTTCTCTCATCCCTGTCCTGACTAAACTTCCTTCAGAAACATCCCAGGTGCTCCTTCATTTTTTATCTTCCCTTGAATGTGTTAAATAAAAGATGTTGGGAATATTGTTTTCATTAATAATCAGTTTATCTGATTTTTTTCTTTTGTAAAATCACTTTAAATAACACAAGACATCATCCTACAGGAAGTGGATGGAACACATTACACCAGTAAGTACTGTCAATGGATTTCATCCATTCTGGTATGTTTCAGTCAGTTTGTGTCAAAATTCCCATCCGTTTGACAATATTAAAGTGCCATAACCCTGACCAGACTATAATAAAGATACTGAGAAGTATTTTTGTTGTTGTTGTTAATGAATGATCACGCTATGTTTGAACAGTACAGACTGCTTTAAACGATGATTAAGAGCTCACAGATAATGAGTTTCTTTTTTTTTTTCCTCTGTGGAACATAAAAGAAGATATTTTGAAGAATGTGGGTAACCAAACAGTTGCTGGTCGCCACTGACTTCCATATTATGGAAACAAAATGTAAGTCAACAGAAACCATCAAGTATTTGGTAATTAAACATTGTTTGAAATATTTGCTTTTGTGTTTAACAGAAGAAAGAAACTCCTACAGGTTTGGTACAACTGCGAGTAAATGATGACAGAATTTCATTTTTGGGTGCCCTGTCCCTTTAAGGCTTCTAGTAGCTTTCTTGAAACAGACTATCATAAGTTGTTGTGTCTCATAAATTGTTTCTGCTGTGTGTCTGTCAGTTTCCAAGTGTTTTTTTTTTCTTTTTTTCTGGTTTAAGAAGCTGTGCTCACCGTTACTTTCTGTACAGTTTATCTAATGGAAAGGCCTGCGTTTTAAGGGTTAATTGTCTGTCTTCCTTTGTTAATTACCTTTATGGTAACTACACAGCACTTCATGCCGGGCATTCGTTTATATAACTCCCAAGTGTCCAAATATTTTGTGACCACTGTTTACAATGTTAAATGTGACCCTGGAGCACAAAAGCAGTGTTAAGTCGCTGGGGTATATTTGTAGCAATAGCCAACAATACATTGTATGGGTCAAAATTATACATTTTTCTTTTATGCTAAAAATCATTAGGATATTAAGTAAAGATCATGTTCCATTAAGATATTTAGTAAATTTCCTACTGTAAATATATCAAAGCTTAATTTTTGATTAGTACTATGCATTGCTAAGAACTTCATTTGGACAACTTTAAAGATGATTTTCTCAATATTTAGATTTTCTTGCACCCTCAGATTCCAGATTTTCAAATAGTTGTATCTCAGCCAAATATTGTCCTATCATAACAAACCATACATCAATGGAAAGCTTATTTATTCAGCTTTCAGATGATGCATACATCTCAATAAAAAAAAATGACCCTTATGACTGGTTTTGTGCTCCAGGGTCACAGATGATGTTACAAAACGCTGCGTAAATGAGAAACGCTTGACCCGAGCGCGGTGTCACGTGACTCGGCCAGTACGTCAGCACGCACGGTGATCGGGCGTCACGTGACGCGCTGAGTACGCGGCGGAATTGGAAGTGAAGATGGCGGATGAGGAGGCCGAGCAGGACCGCAGCGAGCGGAGCGACGCTTCCAGCGCTTTAAACGCGCTCACGACGCGACTGAGGGACATAGCGGCGGCTCTGGAGACCAGCCAGGAGTCTCCCGACGAGCGAGCATCGCAGTACTGCTATGAGTTCTGTCAGGTGAGCGCAGATTGTCCCTGAGCAGCTCGTAAACATTCGCACACGGCGACAGTAAAGCAGTAACCTCGCTACCTGGCGACCTAACGCGGGTTTAGACGGTGCTCTGCTGCGCTAGCGCGTTTACAGAGGCTCAGTCAGTCATTCGGCGTCGATGTGAGCCTCGTTTAGCTGCTGTGTGCGTGACGCTCAGGACTGTAAACAAGCACGCAGCGCGCACAGCTGCAGGAGCTAGTAACTGATCAGCGCCATCATCTGTTATCAGTACCCTTCACTGCGCATCAGTGGCGTAACCCTACAGTCTTCCTTCCTGCACATCATCCTCTGTCTCCCACTGGACATCATTATAATGCATTACTAACTGCACAGATCACCATAATCTGTCACTTCACACTGCAAATGAAAATAAATGCAGTGCACTGAAATGCATGAAGTTTTTGTAGATAATAGTGATGTGCAGTGAGTGTCAGATCTTCAGTAAGCTTGCAGCCTTCCATTATCAGCATAACAGGGCTCCAGACAAAAGAAATCGAGTAAGGAGCCATTGGCTCCTATAAGAAAAAAACTTAGGCGCAAAATAATTTTTTTAGGTGCCACAGAATAAACGTGTTTTATTTATTTTATTACTAATTTTTAACATTTCAATCATACTGTCATGTGTTTATGTCTCATCTTTTCTTGATTTAATCAGCATTTTAATCGATCTTCTAGAACAGTGGTTCTCAAACTTTTTACAGCGGCGTACCCCCTGCTGCATTTAACATCTTCTGCGTACCCCCGCTCTTCCACTTAGACCGCAGTCACACCTTTTCTATTAAAGGACAATTTGGCCTCTTAAATTGATTTAAAGGTGCATTTTTTTACCTTTATAGAGGCAAATATTTTCTATCCTTATTAATTGCATGTCATGTTTTATGTCATATTCTTAACATTCCATTAAGTGTATTATTAATATAATAAATAAAGCAATAAATGATGGCAAATCGAAGTGATACTTGTAAATAAAACCGCCAGAAGGTGGCGGCAAGTCACTGTCTTAATGAGCCAGGCGTCGCGTCATTCATTCATTCATTCAGTAAAGAAGCAAAATGCTGTAGTTATGAATGGGTTATTAATCACTGACTCTCTGATTCGTTCAAAGCCGCAGATTCGTTCACTAACGAAACACCGCTGTATGATTGTCTATCTATCTATCTATCTATCTATCTATCTGTACCGAACCTGCATGTTTGTAGCTAGCAATCGATTATGTTGGCATGCAGTGAGTGTCAGATTATGATGATGCTGCAAATTATAATTATATAGTTCTATCATTATAGATTATGCAGGGCTCCAGACTGCGACTAAAACGGTCGCATTTGCAAGTGAAGTTTTTGCTCAGGTCGCCACTGGCAACTATATATATTTACATGTTATGACTTAAAAATGTGCATGTAATGCCTTTTTCCTGATTGTTTTGCGATCACATCTTTTGTTATGTTCTCGTATCAAACTGAGACGATGCTCATCAAAGTTTTAGTGGAAAAAGCCGTTTTACATTGCTATAAGGAGACAATTAACAACAGAGCCCAAAACTTAAATTCAGTTACTGTTTATTTTTCATTATACTAATCAATACTAAGATTTAAAAAAAATTGCATGCAAACATGTAAATAGCAGATAATGCAGTTTTTAAATTAACTTCTAAATTATACAATTTCTATTTTTTGTTGAAATATATTCATTTACCCAGTGGCTGTCATAACTTGTTTCATAATATATTTATTTAAACATACATTAAATAATTAAGACATCACTAACGGGTAAAGTAAAATTTGAGTATTCCAGCATTCGATTATTTGACAGCCCTAATATGTACCTAGGGTTGCAGCTATCGATTATTTTAGTCATCGAGTATTCTACCGATTATTCCATCGATTAGTCGAGTAGTTGGATGAGAAGTAATTTTTCTTTATTAAAGAGCAATACTAAATATACAAGAGATAATAAGAATCCATAACTGTATGGAGTGTGTGTGAGTGTGTGTGTGAGAGAGAGAGATAGTGTGTGTGTGAGTGAGAGAGATAGTGTGTGTGTGTGTGTGTGTGTGTGTGTGTGTGAGAGAGAGAGAGTGTGTGTGAGAGAGAGAGAGTGACAATCAACATGAATGGCACTTAGTCTTTCACAAAACATAGCTAACGTAGGGACATCATAACTAGCCACCATATTGATTTACGGTCTTAAATATGTCCAGTGTTTATCAGTTTGTGCGTCAGTAATAATGGTTCCGTGGGGAAACACAGTGTTCTGTGTGTAGTTACAGTAAATGGACTAAACGAAGCCTCGAGGTAAATAATTTGCCTCAATGATTTTTTTGTATTCGAGTAACTCGAGGAATCATTTCGTGTACGAATACGTGTGCCGTTACACCCCTACTAGCTGTACATCATCATCTACACAGACAGCATTTATCAACTTAACTTCAGAAAAAGCATTAAGATCAGTGTTCGCTGTCTGTTTTCCTGGAGAGCTCTTTTGCTTTGTGTGTACTTTAGTTGAAGTTTAATTCTCCGTTGCATTAAGCGTATGTCTCTCTGTCCTCCGCTGCAGTGAGTTGCTGTGCTCGTGTTTCGCTCTGATGGTCCACTGACCTATATATCTGTTGGGATGTTTCTCTGTGAGATGTAGATGTGTGTGTATTGTAAGACGGTCATGTTTCATCTGTTCTCTGAGCTCAGGGTGAGAGGGAAGTGCTGTAGGCTGCTGTTGTTCAGGTTGTTGGATAATATCACAGTGCACATTTGAGGGACACCTCAGATCTTGAGGGAGACAGCAGGGACGTTTCTGGAGCGTGAGCAGTCAAACTCGCTCTCTGATGTGCAGTCAGTCAGCAGTTTTATTTAGACTATAAATCTATGGTAATTCACAAATTACTTCAAACGCCATACACAGCGTTTCCTTTAGATCGGCATGTTTGAGCGCAGGAAAATACAGTTTATGCATTCAGCAAATTAATTTTGTGTTGGGCGATGGACCTTGTTGGGAAACCAAATACTACATCGCCGATCTGGAGCCATCTCCATTCATGTCACCCATCCGCGTTTGTACAAGTGTCTTCAAGTTCCCGTGATCGCAAATGCCTGGCTAGTCAGGTTTGGTGAGGCTTTCTCCAAACTGTCCAAATACAAACGAGACAGCGATAAATTAAAGATGTTAACAAGAAATGTGGCAACGATTCCTATTTCAAAGAGAGCACATGCAGACGAGGAGTTAATTCTTGAGGGAGACAGCAGGGACGTTTCTGGAGCGTGAGCAGTCAAACTCGCTCTCTGATGTGCAGTCAGTCAGCAGTTTTATTTAGACTATAAATCTATGGTAATTCACAAATTACTTCAAACGCCATACACAGCGTTTCCTTTAGATCGGCATGTTTGAGCGCAGGAAAATACAGTTTATGCATTCAGCAAATTAATTTTGTGTTGGGCGATGGACCTTGTTGGGAAACCAAATACTACATCGCCGATCTGGAGCCATCTCCATTCATGTCACCCATCCGCGTTTGTACAAGTGTCTTCAAGTTCCCATGATCGCAAACGCCTGACTGGTCAGGTTTGGTGAGGCTTTCTCCAAACTGGCCAAATACAAATGAGACCGCGATAAATGGAAGATGTTAACAAGAAATGTGGGAACGATTCCTATTTCAAAGAGAGCGCGTGCAGACTAGGGTTGTGACGGTGAGGACATTTTCCCTCCGGTTAATCGACGCGAGACAACACCGGTAATACCGGTATCACCGCGGGGGCGTTCCCTCTTTTTCTCGCTTTCCTTCGCTTTTAAATAGCTTGTAAAAGCGCATTTTACTTTCACTTTCAAATTCGGCGTAATGCAATTGTTCGTTTTTAATTTGTTTGAATTTCCCCTCTTTTCCTCGCTTTCCTTCGCTTTTAAATAGCTTAAAAGCGCCATGCTCATTTTACTTTCAGTTTTCGAATTAGCGGCAGTTCGGCATCAATTGCTTGAATGCAACAACAAAATACAACGTCAAACTCACTTTAGCCTATAACATAAAGTTTAAATAGGTATACAAAACTGGAAATAAGTAAACGTATAATATATAACCAAATAAATAAGAAGCGTAGAATGTTTATTAGCAAAACGAATAAGAAAGCTTGGAGGTACGGCATGCACTTTGATGTCAAATAAAATAAATAAATTGCACAAAGTTAAAAATAAAATAAATAATAAATTTATATAAATACATAAAATAATAAATTTATATAAATATATAAAATTTTATATTAAAAAATAAAGTAAAAATCAGCAAACACTGTGGAACCAATTAAATAAGAAGCGAATGTTTAAAAAAACTTCCAAAATCCCCTTAGATAAACGGCAAAAGTCAACAGGCTTTTCAAAATCCAAAATATTGCCAAGCAGGCGCTTTTGTACTTCGTTTCGAAACTAAATCATCCGCGATCGTCTTGTCTGTCTCACCGCACTCTCCTCTAGGCATGGGCCGGTATGAGATTTTGACGGTATGATAACCTTAAACAAAAATATCAATGTTTCACGGTATTGTCGTTACAGCTCTAAAATTTGTTATTTTTAAATGACTATGTAAAAAAAAAAAAAACGTTTTCCCGCTGAACACAATATATTTTGTTTTTGAGCAGCATACGAATATTAGGAACAGTAGAATGTTTATTTGATTTGTTTCCTAAAAATTAGAAAAATAAAGACTGACATCTTTATTTAACCTAAATCTGTAATTACAGTTATTTTATTTTAGTTACATAAGTCATATACATATAATTTTTATCATTTCATATCATTTAGTTATATAATTTTATATACATAATTTGATGTAATAATAACCTAATTTGAAGCAAAAACAGAATGTTCTGACTAGCTTTGTGCAATTATACTACATGTATACATGACACACGTGACTGACCGCTCGCTCGCACCAACAGGAGGAGGGTCGTGTTACTCTCTACACTGCACTCAACCTGAGGGATTCCTACACTTTCAGTCTTTGAGGAGACATGAAAAACAGTGCATACCGCAGGAACGGTATAAACTAAATGATTTTTATTACTATAAAAAATCAAAACGACGGTGGGGGTCGGTGCCGCGGTGGGCAAGTGATGTAACTGGTGTTGCGGCTTAACACCGGTATCACCGTCAGCACCGTATATCGCGGCAAGCCTAATGCAGACGAGGAGTTAACGCGCCGCTTGCTTGGCGGCGGAACAGTGAACCGTGTCTACACCGGACACGACACCGCCGCGTCGTGAACAAATAAGTTCAGAAATTAAGCTGTGTAATAAAATGGAATGACCCAGGGATAAAGTATTGAACACGCTTACTGAAATGTATTTAATACGTCATACAAAAGGCTTTGTTGGTAATGACAGCAGTCTGGAGAAACTAGTGGCATGCATTGCTCAGGTGTGATTCTGGCCCATTCTTCCACACAAACAGTCTTCAAATCTTGAAGGCTCTGTGGGCCTCTTCTATGAACTCTGATCTGTAGTTCTTTCCATAGATTTTCTATTGGATTCAAGCCAGGTGATTGGCTGGGCCATTCTAGCATATATATAAATAAATCTGCCACCGTCACAGCCCTAATATTTCTGATTGATTTGTCATTTTCAGCCCGTTTAACAAATGCTTTCAAGACGATCACAATCACTCTTGCAGTCTCTGTTTGACACTTTTCATTCACAGATCCTGATAAATTTTGCATGTTGGCCAATACCCATCCAATATCAGTGTGTAATATCTATTTCTCCCTAATTACACACTACTGCATTATAAATGAGGTTGTCACATTTTGATAAATTATATGATTAGTCATACAGTAATTATGATTAATGGCATAATTGTCTTCATTATTCACTACTCATTTTACCTATGATGTAAGATCAGAATCTTTCATTCATATAACACAGGCCTGTATGATTTCCTTTGAGACAATTGAAAATTGTCTATCTGTACTGCTTTCTTTCATGTGTATTAGGGCTGCATGATGTATTTTGTATATAAAGGAGTGTGTTCACTCTGGTATTGGCATGTGGCGCTCTATTTTTGTCTTATCAATAAGTTTATTATAAAATGCATTAAAATGCAGTTCACACACGAGTGACTTGAGCTCGGTGTGTGTTTCTGTCTGTCATGTGAAGAGGATTTTTCCTGTACCTTTCCAATCATGTTTGTGACTGTGATTCAAGTTTTGCAAAGCTAGAGATGCATTGGTCGGAACCAGCTCCAAACATGCCATCGGCAACCTTTTTGTTTATTTCATCCGATCTCTGCACACAAAATTAATTGCAGTCATTTCCCAAAACGCCATTTGTCTGGAAATATTGCAGTCAAAAAAGAGATAAACCGAGGCCAGAGACGCACTCAAAGAAGAGAGCAGAGAAAATACTGTAGCAGGCAGAGCAAGATCGCTGTTCACAATGCTCAAAATATTGGTAGAAAATCCTAAATATTATTTCTGATGGTCTTCATAAACGTTTCAGTGACTTTTCATTTCATCTAACTGTTCAAAGTGTTATTTATAAGCCGTAACCAAGGAAACAATATATTGCTGCTATTTCATAAGCACATTTTTAGTAACAAATATTTAGCATTTTTAGCGAACGTTCACAAAGCAAAAATTTGACCATTCTGTTTTGCTTTAAATTTTGAAATTATACATTGTAATGTAAATAAAAGATAACTGCTTATTGATATCGGCCATAAAAAATCAGAATCTGTCCATCCCTAGTATTCACTATAATTGAGTAAACTTGGAAGAGTTTAAAGAACAGCCCCTGCAACAATTACACTTTCAAACAATGAGTGGCATTGCTTTTGTATGTTGATTTTTCAGTATTTTCATTTAAAAAAAATTTTTTTTTTTAATCCACTCTTCCAAAAATGTCATTGTTTTGTAGAAACATTGTTTTCTGACTGGTGTTTCCACCATGCACAGTAGGGAAAAGTATGGAATCTGATTTGAGTCATTTCCAGGTCTGGATAAGCTTGAAAACAGAGAATAGGACAATATTTGTGTTTCCAGACTCTTGCCCGTATTCTTTTCTCTAACATATACGATTGAGAATTCCTTAAAAATGTATTTATCAAACAAGCAGGGTGTTTTGGAGCAGGCAGCCAAACATTTAGAGATTTAGTAATCGTTTAACATGTATTTATTTCACTAAACCATATGTGACTCTGGAGCGCAAAAGCAGTGAAGAAAACCCTAAAACAGTCAACTAAACACAAAGAAATCACAACTCTCTTACAGCAGTGGTCTCATTATAATGTTATGTTTGTGACAGATTGGCAAGTCTTGCACTTAACGGAATCTTTTATTTTTTAATTTGATTTTTTGAATGTCAAATGATCATCGTTTTCATGATCGATCATTGCTGCCACTTTCAAGTACCTCTGCCCATCCCTAACGAGCATGTGCTGCTGAATGAGTGCAGACTGCTGGTGTTGTATTGACATGGGCATGTGTGCTCGTTGCAGACGCTGGTGGAGTATGCCAGTCTGTGGAGGATTGAGGAGGAGCCGTTACCAGTTCTGGAGGTTTACATCATTGCACTGCTGAGCTTTGCACAGGCGTCGCCGTACCTTTCCACCCAGTGTGAAGAGGTGCCAGTCCTGCTCGAACGGCTCTCGCTGTAAGTATGCACTTGAAAAAAAAAAGCTGGTTATCTTTTCTATCTGTCTTTTTCTGTTATTTTTTTACTTTGTTGTTTGAGTTTAGAAGTATTTGTTGCCTTTCTTTCTGTAGGAGTTGTGCAGAGTTGCTGCTTTCTCTGCCCAGGAATATCCCAGATGCATTGTGGGACAGGTTCAGGACATCTGTCCAGGTAAATTTACCAGACTGAAGTTCTTAGATACTAGTATTTGCATTGGTCAGCTTTGATGTCTTCTGCAGTAATGGGCAAGAAAATTATAAGTCCTTAACTTCATAGTCAACAACAATTGTGTCCCTGGAGCACAAAAGCAGTCTTAAGTCGCTGGGGTATATTTGTAGCAACAGCCAACAATACATTGTATGGGTCAAAATTATACATTTCTCTTTTATGCCAAAAATCATTAGGATATTAAGTAAAGATCATGTTCCATGAAGATATTTTGTACATTTCCTACCGTAAATATATCAAAACTTAATTTTTGATTAGTAATATGCATTGCTAAGAACTTCATTTGGACAACTTTAAAGATGATTTTCTCAATATTTAGATTTTTTTGTACTCTCAGATTCCAGATTTTCAAATAGTTGTATCTCAGCCAAATATTACAAACCATACATCAATGGAAAGCTTATTTATTCAGCTTTCAGATGATGTATAAATCTCAATTTTGAAAGATTTACCCTTATGACTGGTTTTGTGGTCCAGGGTCACAAATGCACGTGTTCCACTGTTTTATTTTGTGTGCTGTCATGTCCGTGCAGATTGCCCATCCTCTGGTCCAGGAGAAGGGAATGAGCAATCTGATGATCCTCTCCACCATCGCACGAGAGCAAGGGGTCTGGAGCAATCCTATGCTGCAGGGCATTCTCACGAACCACATGCCGCCGCAAGAGAAAGGTGCTGCTTGTTATCCTCACATCGTTTAAGTTTCTCTCGTCTTCTAATATGACCTGACAACAGAACTGACATTTTGGTAGAGTTAACCTGTCAAGCTGTAATACACCAGCATTAAATAAGTGTTTATTTTTCTCTGTAGTCTGTGAGTTCCTCGCTCTGGAAGGACAAACACTGCTGCGGATGCGAGTGAAGCACCTGATCAAAGAGAGCAGTGTGGATCAGGCTGCATCGCTGGCCAAGGCCTGTGCTGAGCTCTCTGAATTTGAGGAGAAGGCACACTTTAAGCAGATGTACCTGGTTTGTTTGTGCACTGCTGCTCCGCAGGAAGTTGTAATGGAAGAGGTAAGCCTCTGAGTGGACCGTTTACTGAGAATATACTCTACCAGTCAAAGGTTTTTGAACAGTAAGATTTGTAATGTTTTTAAAGAAGTCTCTTCTGCTCACCAAGCCTGCATTTATTTGATCCAAAATACAGCAAAAACATTAACATTTTGAAGCACACTAGTCAACATTTGAAGTGGATCAAAACCTTTCTTCAAAGTTGTCCTAAAACCTAAAACCAAAATGCGTTCTTGTCTTGGGACAGCTTTCATTAACTTTTTTGATCCACTTCAGATGTTGACTACTATATTTTTACTATTTAAAATAACTGTTTTCTATTTGAATATATTTTAAAATGTCATTTATTCCTGTGATTTCAAAGCTGAATTTTTAGCATCATTACTCCAGTCACATGATCAGAAATAAAAAAAACAATGCTCAAAAAACTATTATTATTATGTTGAAAACAGCTGAGTAGCATTTTTTCAGGTTTCTTTGATGAATAGAAAGTTCAGAAGAACAGCATTTATCAGAAATAGAAATCTCTTGTAACATTATAAATGTCTTTATCATCACTTTTGATAAATTTAAAGCATCCTTGCTAAATAAGTGTTAATTTCTATAATTTCTTTCCCAAAAAAAATAAATAAATTATACTGACTGCAAGCTTTTGAATGGCATAGTGTATAATGTTACAAAAGCCTTTTATTTTAGATAAATGCAGATTTTTGGATCTTTCTATTCATCAAAGAATCCTGAAACTGTTTCCAACATTGATAATAATCAGAAATGTTTCTTGAGCAGCAAATCAGCATATTAGAATGATTTCTGAAGATCATGTGACACTGAAGACATCATCACAGCAATCAATTACAGTTTAACACATTCAAATAGAAAGCAGTTATTTTAAATAGTACAAATATCTTACAATATGACTGTTTTTGTACTTTGGATCAAATAAATGCAGGCTTGGTCAACAGAAGAGAATTCTTTAAAAAAAAAACATTAAAAATTTCAAAATCTTTTGACTGGTTGTGTGCTTCTATGTCTGCATCTCACCACTTCTTTTCAGATTTAGTAGTTATGAAAGTATAATCTTCATAAGCTAAAGCTTAAGGGTGTATTCACACCAGGAAAGTCCGCTAGTTCACTTGCTTTGGTCCGGACCAAATACAATGTTGATTTGTTTTGGCTTGGTGCAGTTCGCTTTCACACTGCCCTTTTTGCAAGTGAACCAGAAACTGTAAACAAAACCACACATGTGCTTAAGGTCATCCATTCATTGGTTCATCCATTCAAACGTACCAGAGTTCGTTTGGAAGCGGACCGAGACCACCAGAGTTGGTTTGGAAGCGGACCGAGACCACCTCTTCAGCTGGGTTTCGGTACGGTTGTTTGGTGCGCACCCGAGTGAGATTGCTGTATTCGCGCCTGCCCAAAAGATCCACAACAAGAGGGGAAACAAACTTGAGTGCGATTCAATCGAACCAAACAAGACAGGTGTGAATACATCCTAAATCTAAGTACATCTTATGTAAAAGGTGTGAATTCAAGCTTGATTGTTGTCTAAAGGCTTTTGGAAGTACATTTTCATTCTTCAGTAGATATCAAACACGGCTTACATCTGCGACTTCTTTCCCTACCTTTTCAGCTCTCAAGAGTGGACTGTCGTGATGCTTTAGAGATGATTTGCAACCTTGAGGCTGACGGTGATGAGAAATCTGCGTTTACGTTGTGTTCTGGTTTTTTGACCTGTCAGATTCTTCAAGAGGACTCCTACTGTGCTTGGCAAGTCACAAACTTTACCAATGCCAGAATAATCACTGTAGAGTTAGGAAATGACATAAGAATTTGCTCCAGCTATGATAAATGTCTTAAAAAAGGCTTTATACAAGTGGTAATTTAATGTCGTCTTTCATTTCTAAATAATTTGAGATGTTGTGTGTTCTCTGGCAGGGAGTTGACTCTGTTCTGGGGGAAGCTGCTCAAACGATTAGAGTCTTCAGAGCAAGGCTTTTTGGACAGATGCCGTCAGATGTCATTTCTGTCTAAGACTGTGTTCCACCTGCTCTTTTTCATTAAAGTCATCCAGTCAGAGGTGAGCCTTCTCTTTTTCTCACTTCATGCAGTTAATTTTAAATGTGATGCTAAATACTCAGTATACCTTTTTTAAATCACCAGATGGACAAAGCTGGACTTCCGACTTGCGTTGAGCTCTGTATACGAGCCCTGCGGTTGGAGTCGTGCGAAGGAAGCACCAAGGCCACAGTCTGCAAAACCATTTCCTGCCTCTTGCCCTCAGACCTGGAGGTCAAAAGGGCCTGCCAGCTGACAGAGTTTCTCCTGGAGCCAACCGTGGACTCCTACTATGCAGTGGAAACTCTTTACAATGAGCCAGACCAGAAGCTAGACGAGGAAGATCTACCAGTACCAAACTCGCTGCGCTGTGAGCTCCTTTTAGTCCTTAAAACCCAGTGGCCTTTTGATCCTGAGTTCTGGAACTGGAAGGCATTAAAACGCCACTGTTTAGGTCTTATGGGGGAGGAGGCCTCAATTGTGTCCTCCATTGATGAACTGAACGATGGTGACCCTGAGGGCTTAGGCGGAGAGACCAGCATATTTAGTGAGGAGTTCAAGGACGTCTCACAGTGTTTCATGGATACAACAAATGAACTAAATGAAATGGCAGATCAGAGGCAGAAGAACAAAGAGTTGAAAAAGTTGAGAGAAAAAGGTTTTGTCTCAGCTAGGTTCAAAAATTGGCAAGCTTACATGCAGTACTGTGTTTTATGCGATAAGGAGTTCCTTGGTCACCGAATAGTGCGTCATGCGCAGACTCACTTCAAAGATGGACGCTACACCTGCCCGATATGTACAGAGACATTCGAAAAGAGAGAGACTCTTGAACCACATGTTGCATCGCATGTGAAACTTTCATGCAAAGAACGTCTCGCTGCAATGAAGACTAGTAAGCAGTTAGCCAACCCCAAAACAGCGGCTCCTGTCATAGCTCCCCTGAAAGCTAAAAGCAGTGAAAATCAAAAAGTGAAAAAGACAAAAAATAACTGTGGTGGGCAGTCCAACAAACTTAGCCGTAGAGATGCCAATGACTCTTGTGAAGGGAATATATGTCCGGTCCATAGCTGCAGGAGGGGATTTAAATATTTCCGTAATCTCGTTGCCCATGTGAAAGATCATGGTGACAACGAAGAAGCAAAGCGCTTCCTTGAAATGCAGAGCACAAAAGTGGTGTGCCAGTATTGCCGTCGTCAGTTTGTCAGTGTTGATCACCTAAACGATCACCTCCAGATGCACTGTGGCACCAAACCATACATTTGCATACAGCTTAATTGCAAAGCCAGCTTTGACTCCAATACCGAACTTATTGTACATAAGAAAGACCACCCGGTCTTCAAGGCTAAGTGTATGTTTCCGGGTTGCGGCAAGATTTTTAATGAAGCCTACAAACTGTATGACCATGAGGCACAGCATTATAAAACATTTACCTGCAAAGCACCAGACTGTGGTAAAGTGTTTCATTCACAGTCTGAGTTAGACCTCCATGCAGAGGGCCATGTCACAAAAGTGGAAGGCCAGGGCACTGACAGTCAAAGTATTCAACCAGCAGAGCCTCATCCAGACCACTCCAATCCAAACGATCAGGGCTGTGCTCAGGCTGGCTCTCTCTCTGACACCCATCTGAATGACACTGGCACAGGGTCTCAGGTGGATCGTCCATCTGGCATGGTGATAGTAAAGCATTCTGTTGAAAACATGCTAAATAGCGCTTTTATGGTTTCTGCTCAAGAGTGTGTCCATTCTGGGGCAAGTAAACCTGAGCAACAAGACATCCATCAGCATATCCCCCAGATCAATGACCACCTGGGCCAGTCAGCCATGGACACTCACATGCCTCACCTAAATCAGCATGGACCAGAAGAATCTCTTCTGGAGGCCTTGATGAGTGATTCAGATCCTATGCCGTCTACATCTTCATACCAGAGTGTATTGGAGGACTTTCTGCCTGTCCCACCAGCTGACGGTCAGCTGCAGACAGTTGATTCAGGCGCTACGCCATTATACAACAATAACAATGACCTATTTAGGCAGTATAATCCCAATCCTTTGGCTCCGGTTCAGGCATCATATCAGAGCATGTATAGCAGTAACATGACAGCTCCAACACAGACTTCCCACAATGCAACACCACTTGTCTCGTTGGGTCAGATGCTTCCTCCTGTTTCTCAGACGCTTCCTCTACAAATGGCTTCCGTGCCAAATAATGGACAAGTATTGGAGAACAAATCTGTGAAACCGGTAGACACGAACATTGCCCAAGTGGTGAAAGAGAAAGAGAGACACAAATGCCCACATGAATCATGTACTCGAGACTATAGCTCTTACAGAAGTGTTACTAAGCACATGAGGGCTGTTCATCCCGACTTTTACACGCAGTGGAAACTAGCAAGGAAGAACAATGCGGCGGTCAAGTCCACACTCAGATCGGTTCCTGTAAATGGAAGCCACAATAAAGTTGTCAATCCACAACACCAGCTGGGCCAGAGAGTCCCTGGGCCCAGTGTTCAGACACAGAATCCCCTTGTCCAGCCTCCTCCCTACCCAAACAACTGTACGAACCCCAACTATCCTTCTGTCTCCTCTCACGTCACTGCTTCCCCAGGGCATATCCGAACCAATGAAATGGACAATATATTAGATCCTATTGTTCTCTCTCAGCTTGGAAATGGCACAAATCAGCCTCAAATGGCAGCAGACCATTTGTGGGACCCCAGGAACAATTCAGTACTCCAACAACAGACATGTTATTCGCAGTCAGTGACCCAAAACATGAACACGCTTCCTAGCAGTCATTTTACTCACCTAAATGCAGCTTCTACTGACAATGCACAGCAGAGAGTAATGAGCTATACTACTCTGCAACCGCATAATAATCCTAATGTTAACCCAGCACCAGCTCAAGTAGGCAGTGTTCAAAAACTCAATGGCACCTCAGATGACAGTCTGCATTCACTCGGCAATCTCATTCCACCGCAACAAGTCATGAGTCCTAATGTGGCGGCAGCCGTTAATTCAGTAGCAGAGACAAATCTGGGAACTGCTCAAATGTCTGTGTTGCCCCCTTACACTGACAGTTTGAACAGTTCTGTTCCCAGAGATACTTCAGCAGCTTACCCGCAGCAAACAAACAATGAATCGTTCTCTGCAATAACCAATACCCAGTCTTTGGTGAAGTTGGAGAGATCTGGAGAGACAGCTTTAGGTTTGCCACTGCCTACCAATGAAACTCCCCAATCAAACGGGAGTTCTCCAAGTTCTCAGAGTAACACTGGAAATGTGTCCAGTGATGGGGACAACAAAAGAGTTAAGCGAAGCAGAAGAACAAAATGGCCTGCCATTATTAAAGATGGCAAGTTCATTTGCCGCAGGTGTTATAGAGAATTCCAGAGTCCCAAATCTCTGGGAGGACATTTATCTAAGCGGGCTCATTGCAAGCCATTTGATGAAGCTGACCTGACAGCAGACCTCCCCAGCTCATTTCTTGATCTTCTTAACTCACCTCATCCAACATCATCTTCATATTTGAACCTGCCGCAGCCTAAGGGACCTCTTGATCCAAAATTATTCCCGAATGTCACTTTTCCCCAAGCCAATGGCACCTACACTAGCAATGACAAACAGACGGGAGGAGTGTTGACGCAAAGCCCGTCAAATCTGTGTGCGAGCTCTGGACAAGAACAGCAGACGGTTTCAAACCCGTGTGGTCCATATGCTCAGAGCAGTCGTATGTCAGAAACTAGTGTCATACAGCACACTGGTAGTGTTAAACATCAGCTACAAGCAAGTTATTCTGAGATGTCTAACCCACCGTTTAATGAGAGTGTCCATGATCCTCTTCTTTCTCAGTTGTTGGCTGATGACCAATCTACGTCCAGCCTGAACAGTGGTTCATCAGATCATGTCAGTCAAATTCTTCAAGCTGAAACTTTAAACAAAATTAAATATATCAAGGATAAAACAACCAACAGCAATGCAAGTGACCTATCAAATGATGGACTTCTGGCAGCCATGGAAAGTCTTGCTCAAAACCTGGTGTCTGAAAAGAGTGTCAAAGAAAGACTACGTGACCAGATATTGGCTGGAGACCAACACAAAAAAAGCAGCTTGCCTCGTGGATCGAGTGTCGACAGTTGCTGCTCACAAATGTCTGTTGCAAGTCCCGTTAGTGGGGATCCACAATGTACCTCAAACTTGATTCAGAATGAACCTCAAAGTGAGCAGCAACCTGTGGGAAACACAGCCGAAGTCCCTGTCGAGTCAGTATTGCAATTGGGTGAGGTGAGCTCAAATGTTAGCTTAATTCACGGCATTTCATCTGCGGTTTCAGGAAGTACTGTCAATGATCAGTCCAACCATACATCCATAACCAATGTGGATGAAGTGTTGGAAATCCAAAAAGCTCTTGAGAAGCTTGACCTAGACAGAGAAATCAGTGAGGTTAGCAGAACTGTGGATAGTCCTGCGATGAATGGTGAACAGCTTAATAAGCCAGAGTCCAAAGATTTACCCGTTGAGTTACCAAGTTATGTGAAACCATTTGCATGTGACGCAAATGGTTGCACTTACAGTGCGATGACAAAAGATGCTCTTTTTAAACACCTTGTCAAGCTGCACAATTACACAGATGACATGCTTACTCGAGTGAAAGACCAGTTTAATGTTGCCCCTTTCAGCTGTCAAAAATGTTCCAAGGCTTTCACACGCAACTCCAACCTCAAAGCCCATTATTTGACAGTTCACAAATTTTCACAGGAAGACATAAAGAAGATGAAAATTAAATCTCAGTCCAATCGCAGGCTCCCAGAGCGTGACAGAGGAAGCCCTTGTCTAGTGCCAGAAATTCCCAATTCAGTTAAAAACACTCCACTTGTGGATGCACGTCAACAGCAGAACAATGTTGCATGTGCATCGGGCGCCACTAGAGAAGATAATGTCAAAATATCACAGTGCATCACTCCATCGCTTGTCCAGCAATCGGCCTTTGTGTCTCAAGGCAAAAGTCGTGCAGTGGGAACTCCGACAGTAACTCCGCAAAATCAGATGCCGTTTCAGCCATCAGTGATTGTGTCTGGTCGTTCTTCAGCGACTCCAAGGATGGATCAGAATGCAAAAGGATTTTTTTCCACAAAGTCCCCCCCCATTTCTGGCCCGACCCATGTGTGCCCATTAAAAGAGATTCTACCCATAGCCCCTTTTATCCAGAATCCTTCAGTGCCAGTACAAGCACTAAATCAGTCCTTGGACAAAAAGCCCAAACCTCCTAGCAAGCCTCGAGTGGCAAATCCAAGAGAATCTCCCAAAAAAACAAAAGAGAAAAAACCAGAGGGCGATGACATTTTCAGTCCTTACAGACCTTACCGTTGTGTTCACCAGGACTGTGTGGCAGCTTTTACAATTCAACACAATTTGATCCTACATTATAAAGCTGTGCACCAGTCTGCTTTGCCTAAATTTGAGGTCAACAGTCAAGAGGAACAGAGCGAAGAGGAGGCCGAGGACAAGGATACAAGTGAAGAGAGCGACGAAAAGCTAGACATGGACGTCAAAGAGGTGGATGAGTTCAGGTGTCAAGTCAAAGACTGTTCTTGCATTTTTCAGTCAGTTCCAGACTTGCTCCAGCACTACCTTCAGCTCCACAAATTAACCCTTGAGAAAGCAGGTGCCATGATGTGCAGTATCAACCTAGGCAGGTTTCAGTGCGATCAACCGGACTGCTCAGAGACTTTCACTGCTTTCTGGAAATATATCAGCCATTTCGATCAAGAGCATAAAGAAACCATGCTCTCAAAAGTCAACCCAGTGGAAGGAATGTTCAGATGCCCCATGGAAGGATGTGAATGCGCGTACAGCACACGGTCAAATCTACTGCGACACACCATGAAGAAACACCAAGACGTGTACAAACGGCTGCTCATGAACCCACGGGAAGGCAAGAGTGGGGTTAAACTCGGTCGTCCCAGGAAGTACAAAACTGACGTTGTTGAGAAAGAGAACAGAGAAACTAACAAGAAACCCGTTAAGAAGGAAGCTGTTAAAAAGAGAAAAGCTAACAAAAATAACTGGACCAAATATGGGAAACCCATTTTGAAAACGCAGGAAGAAGCTTCTGCCATGTGCACCAAACGCTTGCAACTGCAGTACGCTTGTATGATAAAGGGTTGCGAAACGGTGACCAGTTCAGAGCGAAATATAATGAAACATTATCTTCAGCATGGACTCCCAAAACAGTACCTGGAAGAACAGAGGAGCAACTTCATATACTGTAAAAAGTTACCCCGATCCAGATACAAGCGCATCGCTTCCAGAAGCGACGACACGGATAATTCAGCGGAGAGCTCCATCGAGACGACTGAGAATGAGGAAGTCGCTGAGCCTGGCCAGAGTGAGTCCGAGTTCTCCAAGCCTACTTCTGAGAAAGAAAGCACAGAGGATGCCGATCTGTCCGACGGAAAGCCTTCTACAGACACGTGCTCGGAGATATCTGTGGTAGTTAAGAGACGGAGAGGACGTCCACGCAAGGGGGAGAGAGTATCGGACAAGTCCTTAGGACCTAAAAGGGTGACAAGACTTAGAACCGCAAGGAGTTCTGCAGTCAATTACGTGGACTTGAACTCTGACTCCACGTCCTCTAGCACTACCATGGCACAGGAAGATGCCTCTGGTCAAAATACACCACTGAGTTCATTCAAGCCCATGGGATTTGAGGTGTCCTTTCTTCAGTTTCTGCAGGAATCGAACACGTCCCAGAAGAGGAAAGCTACGGTACCCTTGAACGGAAATGCACACAAAAAAATGACTGCTTTCCACCTGAAGACTGCGACGGTCGTGTGCAAAAGATCTGACGCCCAATTGCATTCGAGAGAAGTTCTGCAACTTGTTGAATTTAAGAATCCCCAGAAGTTGACCTCGCTCAGCAACGTCACCTTTGAGGTGCAGAAGGTTTTTTCGGGTGTCTATGAAATTCTTCTCAAGCAGCTTCATGAAATGCGACCCACGGTGATCCTTCAAAAAGAGGATTAATGTACAGACCCTTGTGTCATGTTGTCTGAACTCAGGATAAGGTCAATGGCTAACCTGCTGCAAACCAGTGCCCAATTGTTAGTTGTACCTGGTAGTTGATCTCTAGTTGAAGGTGAATGCTGAATGATCGTTGCTTGTCAAGGAGTAGTGGGATGTTTGATGATCCGGAAAACACTACACACCCCACTATCTTAAAGGTCCCTAGTGCGATGTTTATTACTTAACAGAACTGTGTATGTTAAGCTCATTTTATAGTTGCAGTAGATGATGAAATACCTCTAAAGCATGTGTCTTTATGAAGCTGTTCAGCACATTTCTGTTGCCTTTTGGAGTTTTTTTTTTTCCTTTTTGAGTGTTGGATAGACTCGTAATTTTTAATATTCCATTGGACTTTTTCTATCCAGCTGAAAGTGAATCATTATCAATTCTGATGTTATGTAGTGCTGTGTATAATTAGAAACTGTTTTGGTCCTGTTTACCTTGTAAATCTGAAATTTGTCAATAATGTTGTGTGTGGCTCTTTGATCAACCACTGCCACCAGCGGTCTGTATGTTAATCAATAGCAACCAATTTAATACAGCTTGCATTTTGTTACTCTATGTTGGTCTCATCCTTACTTGCATGGTTATTGAAATTATAAAACTGCTATGAGGGATGTTTAGGGGATCAAACATATGATTAGCTCAGTATAAAAACCAATTATACCATGTATACATGGAAACAAAAAGAGTTGATCTATTGACTAATATACGCTATATTGATAAACGTATTGGGACACCCCTTTAGAAAAGAAAAGGGCACTTTTTAAACTGGCGACAAAGATGGAAACATAATTCATGTATTTAAAAATTGTATTTCCATCTCTGTTGCAACAGTTTTGGAAGTGTCTAAAATGACTTTACCCATATATACAAGTCACTGGTGTTTGGTGATGAGTTTTTGGCTCGAGGTCTGCATTTAAAGTCACAGCAGACCAGTCCAGTTCTTCCACACACACTCAGTCAATCCTTTCTTTTTGAACCTTGCCTTATACACAGAGGCATTGTCATGTTAGAATAGAAAATGGTCTTGTCCGAACTGTTGCTATAAAATTAGAAGCACACAATTCCCTAGAATAAATTATATGCTTAAACATTAAGATTTGTACTCATGGAAATACTACTAAAGTAGTCAAACCTGCTCTTCAGAAGGGGTGTCCTAATACTTTTGTCCATATAGTGTATGTCAGTCCATAGTGGTAGGTGCTTTTAAAGTTGTAGAGTCATTTAATTTTTCTCTCTGTTCTCAAGCCACTTAATTTTTAATAACGCACTGATCCACTATGATTATCTGACAAGGTTTATTTTCGACATGTAAAAGAATCAGTCCTCATAAGTACAGTTGGTTCCACTTTATATTAGGTGTTTTAACTACTGTGTACTTACATCTAAAGTAATGAATAGTTTGGTACAATGTACTTGCGTTCATTGTATTGCAAATCACTTTAGCTGCTATTGAGGGGTTAGGGCCATGATTAAGTATGGTTAGAGTTAAGGGTCTGCAGTGTAATTAAAGATGTATCTACAGAAAGGTATTTTTTAAATGTAAGTTCGATATAAAAACTTGTATGTACACAATAAGTGCATTGTATCAAATGATTAATTTAAGTACATAGTAGTTAAAGACAATATAAAGTGGGTCTCATCTAGTTCTGTAATTGGACAGTACCACAATTATTTATCATACAAAAATAAATACATTAATATGACCATAAACTTCGCAGGCCCAACAATATGCTAAATGATCAACATAACAGTCTTAATAATAAAATTGACAGGTTTGGTTTCAATAGTTGATAATAGTCAGTAGTTTAATGTTCTCCGCACAAGACATACTGTGGTCGACAAACCTATCCCTCGTTCCAAACGAACCTGTATTTAATGTCATCTGGGCTGTATTTTGTCATCTTTGTTGTTGGTTTGTGAGTATGAGGGCATGCTGACGTCTAGTTTGACTAGATGCTACTCAAATAGCAAGAATTTCTGCCCTGAATACAGTACAACAAAATATATGAGAAGTGTTTGCTCTTCCCCTTTGAAAGTTCATACTTCTGTTTGTTATGCTAACGTAGCTCTACGTGACTGTAGTTTGTTATTTGCATTTGTTCTTGTGATTCCTTGCTGTCTGCGAGCCATCAGCGGAGAAGAACTGGTGTAGCATGCATGAAAAAGCCCAAGTGTTCACGCAGCAGCAAGCTTTGGACTTTCCTTTGCAGCCGGCGCAGAATGAAGGCCTTCGTCTTTAGACATGGCTAGCGACGGCGGTGAGCCGAGAGTGAGCGTGGATGGAGGCCGACCGCTTCTTTCATGCACAGGAGCGTACCTCTTACTGAAGCACTTCCAGCACTGCTTCGATATGATATACATCATCTCCACCACATTCAGTGCAATGCACAGGATAGACGTACAGCCCATGATATAAAGGAAGATTTTCTTCTCGGTGGTTTTTGCGATGTAGCAGTCCACCGTGTTGGGACAGGGGCTCTCGTCGCACCGGAGCAAGCGGGGAACGTGGAAGCCGCTGTACAGGAAGAAGAAAGCCAGCAGAGTGGCCACCTCGAAGGACGTCTCGAGGATGAGGCTCATGATGTAGGTGAAGAACAGCCCTCCGTCGATGCTGCCTTTATCCTGGTACAGCTTCCTCTTGTACTTGCTCTCTCTGTGCTCCCTGTAAGCCACATGCAGAGCCACCAGCAGCGACGGGGTGGACACCATGATCAGCTGAATGGCCCATAACCGCACTTGAGAGATGGGGAAGAAGCGGTCGAAGCAAACCTGCTCACAGCCCGGCTGCTGTGTGTTGCAGACGAAGTCTTTGAACTCGTCCTTCCACACCTGCTCGGCGGCGGCAACGTACACCAGGATGCGAAAACACGAAGAGGATGGAGAGCCAGACCCGCCCGACGACAGTCGAGTACTTGTTTACCCCGCTTAACACATTCTCCAGGAATCCCCAGTTCATGTTTCATCGGGCTGCTGCGGGAGTCAGAAGGAAATCAAGAGTTCAGTGTCTTCAAATCACCATGTACACTCTTAAAGGGTTAGTTAAGTTCACCCAAAAATTAAAATTCTGTCATTAATTACTCACCCTCCTGTCGTTCCAAACCCGTAACAGCTCTCTGACCCTCCGTAGACAGCAAGGGAACAAGAAACTTTCCCAGACCCAGAAACGTAGGAAGGACATCGTCCATGTGACATCAGTGGTTCAACCCTAATATTATGAAGCTATGTGAATACTTCTTGTGCACAAAGAAAACAAAAATAACTTTATTCAAAGATTCTCCTTTGTAAAATTACGGTTGAACCACTGATATCACCTGGACTATTTTAACAATGTCCTAACTACGTTTTTGAGCCTTGATCGTGTTAGGATCCTTGCTGTCTATACAGGGTCAGAGAGCTCTCGGATTTCATCAGAAATATCTTAATTTGTGTTCTGAAGATGAACGAAGGTCTTGCGGGTTTGGAACGTCATGAGAGTGAGTAATGACAGAATTTTCATTTTAGAGTGAAGTACAGTATACCTTTAAAAATAAAGGGTTCCATGAAGAACTTTTAACATCCATGGAACATTTTCACTGGACAACAGGTTCTTTAGATCAGTGGTTCCCAACCACTAACATGCATGTCTACTTAACCAAACACCCATTTCAGCTCTTGGATTCTCTACAAATAAACCGATCACCTGAATCAAGTGCTTGATTAAAGCAAAATGTCCAGTGTTGAGGGCTCCAGGAACCACTGCTTCAGATAGAAGAACAAATGGTTCTTTTAAAGACTGAAGGATCCTCTGGGGAACCAAAATTGTTCTGCTGTGGCGTCTCTGTCCAAATCCCCCTTTGGAGCTTTATTTTTAAGAGCATAACATGCAGGACAATTAATGTCATGTTTGCACTCTTTAGACAGGTATACTTACAATCCATAATAATCAATCAAGAGGCTTTTCAGAGCATTGTCAAATCTAGATTTGAGAATCAGATTGAGCTTTATTCACCAAGTGTGATGATGAAGATCCATTCGTGTGAGATACTTCTCTGAACAAAGGCAAATAAATGTGAAGTATTTACCTTTCATGCAGTCTGATTGCCTTCTGCTCTGCTCGTCTTCGGCTGCTGCTGCCAGACTGTAAATGCACCGAGAGCTGCGTCTCTCTGCTATTTGATAGTCAAACACACCTGGCGTAGGTGCCACACCTGTTTGGTTACTCTGGCAGGACTCTCATGTCACTGGAAGCGCTCTGCTCTGATGTGTTTGCTGAATGCACGAGGTGTTGTGAGCCTCACAGCCTGTAGTGTTAGCAGTGTAAACAGTCGTGTGGGTCGAGTTCACTGGAAAGGCTCAGACGCACCACTCGTGCACTTGACAGACACTCACTGTCTCCAGAACTTAATAATTATTAGTTACAGAGCATTCAGCTGGTAGACAGCATCTTTCCCCATCGGCAGCCAAGCACAAGTTGCTTCACGTGTAAAATGTTGCAGGACAAAGACTCGTTGGTGTGTTTGTATGAAGAGTGCTGTGGGTTTGTCTTTCACAGCTAGCACTGATGCAGATTAATGAGGGCTACTGCAGACATATAAAGTAAACCTGTAGATGTGTGTAACCCAATAGGTTACGCATGCAGTTTTAATGAGAAACCGCAGGCTGTTTGTGCGTGTGCATGAATTACTGATGAGCTCAGCAGCACTGATAGTGTTAACCAGCAGAGAAAACCACAGTCTGCTGTCAAATGCCTTCATTTGTGATTGCTGCAGGTGTTAAAAGTATGTTTATGCTCTTAATTAGTGTTACTGGTCTTATTATTAATGATTAAGAGGTGTTTAAGCAGCTGTCTATAGAGGCACTTTCATGTGCATCATTCATTTATGTTCAGATTTATTTAGCACAGACCTCTTGAGATGTGCTGGCTCTCTACAAAGGAAATACAATTATCAGTTCATCAATTTACAGGCAGACAAACAAACGATAAGAAAAAGAAGAAAACCCATAGATATGAATGAAAACACCGCAGCACAAAATGGCCAGTTTCTGGTAATAAATAAACAATAGACTCAAGGTATAAAAACAGTGACAGAACCACATCAGATATAATAATCCAGTCTACTGAGGCTTTAATCATAGAAGCTCTTTCATCAGTTTTGTTTGTATGAGGGACTAATAAATGCAGAGATGAGCAGGATGCATAACTCCCATCATTTGAAGTGTGAGGTACAAAGTACTGCTGTAAAAAAAGAAGAATCAATAAAATTAATGCATTTAAATATAAACTGAACCAATGAGGGTGTCTTATTACAAGCAGAGACGGACGTCTTAAGTCCACCAGACTATATGATGTTAAATAGTTCATTCCAAAATGAAAATGTGCTCATCCTCAGGTCATCCGAGATCAGGTTGAGTTTGTTTCTTCATCAGGTTTGTAGAAATGTAGCACTGCATCAGTGTCTCAGCAATGGATGCTCTGCAGTGAATGGGTGCCGTCAGAATGAGAGTCCAAACAGCTGATAAAAACATCACAATAATCCACAGCACTCCAGTCCATCAGTTAACATCTGGAGAAGACAAAAACTGAAACAAATCCAGCATTAAGACGATTTTAACTCAAATACCATAGTCCATAATCCATAATAACTCTTCCTCCAGTGAAAAAGTGCATCTGCTGTTGTCTCGCATCAAAATCCAGCCACATATGTGTTTAGAGCTGTTTAAACGCTGCTTGATCTGTGCAGATTTCTCTCCTGATTCACACCAGAACACTTTTTCACTTTTCATTCATTGCTTTTTCACTTTAAAACAAAACAGAAAAACTAGAAAATCAAATCAAGTCAATAGGTGTAAGTGGTTTCAGAATTTAAGAAATTGATCAAGTTTTCAAGATATTATTAGAATTTGTAAAGGTCACAAATTTAATTAAAATAATTTAGAATTTCTTTTCTTATTTATTAGCTACAGTGCCTTGCTAAAGTATTCACACCCCTTCATTTTTTTCACGTTTTGTTATGTTGCTGCCTTATGTTAAACTTATTTAAATTACTTTTTTTCCACATCAATCTACACTCCATACACCATACTGACAAAGCAAAAACAGAATTGTCACAACTTCGTAAATGTATTACAAATAAAAAAAAAATGAAATAAGTACATTGCATAAGTATTCATACCTTTAACTAAATATTTAGCTGAAGCACCTTTACAGCCTCAAGTCTTTTTTGTTTGATGCGACAAGATTTGCTCAATAGCATTTGAAAATTATCTGCCATTCTTCTCCTCACCTCTTCACCTCTCAGGCTCTGTCAGGTTGGATGGGGGCAGATGCACATTTAAGGGTATGAATACTTATGCAATGGAATCATTTAAGTTTTTTATTTTCAATAATTTTGCAAAGATGTTAAAAATCTGTTTTTTGCTTTACCAATTTAGTGTATGGAGTGTAGATTGATGTGGAAAAAAAGTCATTTAAAGCAGTTTAACATAAGGCAGCAACATAA